TTGAATCGATAATGGCCTTGATATGGGTTACATCCACTTCGACTGGGCGGCCAGATCGTTGTGAATTTTCAGTGAAAAATCACCGGAACGAAATCTTTCAAACCAATTTTGACACTGCCTTTCTTTTAAGGCTTCATCTCCATATACGGCACATAACTTCTTTTGTGCTTGCGATGCGTTCTTGCCTTTTCGGAAGTAATACAATAAAATGTGTCGGAAATGCACGTCCTGTTCTTTCATTTTTAAATTGGGATAAAACAAAACTAAAGAACTAAACAAAAAAATTTTTTACTAATTAACTTAGAAGCCCCTACAGTAAGAAAAAATATAGGTTAGATGCTCTGGCCACGTTAACAAAACCAAAGAAAGTATAGAGTGAATCCGTCAACAAAAACGGCAATGCCTTAGTTGCCAACCCAATACATATGAATAGACGAACCAGCTCCTGAAAATCAAAATGTGTTTGATATACTTGAGGTCACTCGGAAATTAGCGTTCTTAAACTAATTTAGTGAAGTTCAGCTGGATTCGAATATGAAATCGCAGTACTTAGTATCTATAAGATAAAATAGGTCGTATTTGATTGCGGAAAGGCAAATTAATACTATATTTCACTTAAAGGTAGTAAATTTTAATTATAACGAGACCCCGTTCAATATCAATTTTAATATGATACAGGACTCGGAGCCACACAAGGCTACCTCTAAATTACAGCTACTTCTTTCTTAGTTATTAAACAGATATACTGTGGGCACCTATAAAATTTACATTGATTTACCCAACCAAGAGAGACTATTTAACGTAGTTACTCAAATTGGCTTGCTTATAACCAAAAATAGCAAATAATGTGTCCAATGATAATTATTTCGATAAAAGTACTTTGTGAATACCATCCAATAACTTCCTTCTCATAATTTATCTCTGTTTACGATCAATCAAAGCCATATTTACTAGTGACTGTTCAGGGTTTGCTCAACATTCAACTTGAGTGCACAAAAACCAAAATCATCTCACTTTTGCAACTGAAAGGAAGAAATCCTCTGTAAAATTCATAGAAATCTTATAAAAGGCCACTTCTCAACTTTGTCAAATAAATATATTTTCACATGCCTTTATGAGGTTTCATTTAGGTAGAAGGAATGATTTCATTGAAAGTCGTTTTTGTGCAGACAAGGCTCTGTACCAAAGTCTCTTCACATGTTATTTTTAATAATATTGTATTGACGCCTTTCATGTGCTTTCGTTTACTGAGAAATGAGTGCCTGTGGCCTCTTGAAATTGTGGTGAAAACGCAGTGCACACAACAAACTATCACCACAAGAATTTAAATGCAATTTAATTTAAAGAGCCTCTATCGACTTATCTCACTGAATTCTAAAATTCCATAAAAAGGTTAAACTTGGGATCAAAGAACTTTTTGCGGCAATTTATTCACTTTTCTGACTATTTAACAGTGGGGAGATAAAATCCCTTTAAATAAAATTTAGTTGAAGGAACAATTGCTTATTTATTTATTTAGGTAATTCACTAGCCAGAAAGACGGCTAACTGTAGTTCATATATTTATTGTTGACGAAATAGTTTCTCATATAACTGATCAAAAATAATTCCTGGCAAATAATTAATTTATATCAAATGCCAGACGTTTTGATGTTATCATTAGCCCTTTAGTTGACTTCAGGCTTCACAGAGGAGAAGGAATATCAAAGTGATAAAAATTTGAGAAGGGAGGGGGGTTACAGAAGAGCGACTAAAAGACATAAATTAGTCAGACACAAAGGTAGAAAAAGGGTGAGGTGAGTACTGTGTAGTGGTCGAATATAACATGCAGTGGGGTGATAGAAGTTTGAAGTCGGAAGTCAACTGCCGGTTAATAGACTTTTTTGCCGAATGAGTATACGTGGAGGTAAGTCTATAGCACACCACCTGGCAAAGAATAGCGTATAGCATGTTCATAATTGAAGTAAATGGGATGATGGTAATCCTTAAATAGAAATCAGCATGAACTTTAGAAACAAAATTAAGACCATGAGACAGGTGCAGCTTAAAGAAGGCGGGAGTGATGGCGTACCCTGCCAAAGCAATTAGGGTTTTGTCCCACAGTTGACTAAATATTTCAGTCTTTTTCATGAAATTCGTCCTCATTGAAGACCTTTGCTACTACACAAATAGGGGAAGGGACTGTATTATTAACTGCCAAAAGCGAATAAGCTTCTAAGCAAACTAAACAATCTTGTTTGATGAGAAGAAATTTTGACAAAATCAAGATTCTTGTGAACTTGCTACGAGTCGTGTGGGCTAACATTTCAAAACCTGTTGTGGTTAAATGAAAGTGTCCTTCTCCGGGGATGTTGTAATGGAACGCATTTTAATTCCTCTCCCTATTAACGTGGGGCATAGGTTGAATTTAGATGCCTAAATGAACTTTTTGACTGATGGAGTATTTACGTCTTGATTGCGAATAGTAGGCACAAACAGTACATATTTAATGAGGCAGAAACTTTCGACCCCCCAGACAAGCAACTTTATGAAAAGTTGAAAATCTCTGATGTAATCTTTACGACCGTGCCACCGTTGAGTTTTATTCTAATCACTGCGCCATACGACAAGAACCCAATTGATCGACATATTAATAGCATTGCTTGTTACATTACACTCGGGGGAAGTAAAAACACCTTGCTCTAGATTCCTGGTCGAACTGAGACAGTAATCTAGTCTATTTAGAGTAAAACACATTGCCAAGAGCGTAATTCCGTTTGTATTGCGATATATTTGTAAACCTGGGTGTGCGATATACTTACCTCCATGTGGTGCCCCCTGGGCAACCTATTCTCAAACGGCAAAAAGTCCATAAGCTGGCATTTGATTTCTCAATTCGAACTACCATCGCCTCACAGTATGTCATATTCGACTACTTCCACAGTACTAACCTCACTTTTTTTCTACCTTTGTGTCTGTCTGCCTCTTGTACATAATTTGGAACACTCTTCTATTCCCCCCCCCCTCTTAACTTTTTCCCTTCGATGTTCCTTCCTCTCTGCAAAGCCTGAAGCCAACTAAAGGGCTAATGAAGATCATCAAAACGTCTGCCATTTGATATAAATAAGTAAAAATAAATTTATATATCTGTTAAATTGTTGGTCGGGACCGATTATTTTTATCAAGCACAGTGGTTCCGAAATAAACCCATTTCTATCAAATAAAATATAATGGAAACATCTAGTAAATAGTAATTTTATCTGCGAAACATATGCCATGATTTTATAAAAGCCCATTTTCTCTTTGAAAAAATGCATACAATTGATAATTAAATTGAAAATATCATTGACATGAGTAGTGTGTTTACTCTCAAATGCTCTTTGTCAAAATTTTAACTTTCCATATTTTATGTCAACTGTCAAAGATGTTGTTTTCATTTAGCAATTCTGAATTATCGGAAATTCCAGTACATTTTTAAATCTTGAAACAATATTTTGATGATCAGACTAATCTAATTCAGACAATCAACATTGCTGGTGACGTAGTTGCAATGCTAATTAAGATATCCGCCAATTTTTGTTGTTTTCCTTTGTTTTATGTCAACTTGGGTAAGATGAACACGGGTTTTATCGAAATGGAGTAGACTATTGATTTGCACAAGTTCCTTGGAGATTCAGAAACTGCGCGATCAAAGGCAATTCTAAATCTCTTTTTAAAAGTTGGAGTGAAAGACAATTCAATAAAGTTATATCTCAAGTATTTATAAAAAAACTTGTTCACTTATGAAAGAATATGGGGTTTGTGATAGATTCAACTTCATGTGGTGAACCATGAGCAACGTATTCTCATACGGCAAAAAAGCCTTTTAACTGGCAATTGTGTATGCGCATACGGCAAAAAAGTCTATAAACCGGCAGTTGATCTAACCCTAACACGGCAAAAAGTCTATAAACCGGCAGTTGACCTCTGACTTCAAACTACCATGACCCCACTGTATGTCATATTTCTCACTTCAAACTACCATCACCCCACTCTATGTCATATTCCACTACTTCTACAGTAATCACCTTTCGTCTAATGATAACTATCAAAATGCCCGCTATTTGATATTAATAAATAAATGAAAGAATATTTGGAATAATTATATAACTGTGAAAGTTTGTTACAATATGTGAAAATGAAATGTGAAAACTTGAGCGATGCCAATTGGTGGAGATTGCGAGTGTTGTTTGAATGGTTATTTAAGGGAGAAAGGTATGCAAAAACTCGTCATATAGTGATAAGGAATCTTTTAGAGAAATTTTAGCTTAACCAATATTTAATTCAATGTGGGGTTGATTGCATGTTCTTCATTTAAAAGGCTCCAAATGTGTTCTCAAATAAAATGAACTTTAATTTGTCCATTCCCTTAAATTTAGTATTGCATTGTCATACTATTTCTTTCCATGTCTCATTTTTTAATCCTTTTGTTTTAATTTTCAGCGTTTTAAACAAGAATAAAGTGCTCAAATATGGCTATTTATTCCAGAGTTTATTATAAACTCGGTAGAGCCAATAATTACAGGCAATATGTGCAAAGTAGATTAAAGATAATGCTATACCATCTAAGGAACTGCTGGATGCCAGTAACCGAAGAATTGATTTATTGATTACTTTCCGAAATTCAATTCGAATAATATATGCCTTAAATTGCTGTGCATTTTTATGCATGTTAATATGTTAATAAACTAAGAAAATCGTAGGTGTAACTCAATTGCATTAATGAAATTTATGAAAGTAATATAATGCCCAAGGTTTTTGTCCAAGACAAAGTAAGTAAATAAATAATTATCAGCCATTTTTAATTTTTTTGCTATTGTCAAATGATTGGCTCATTGCCTTAAGTGACCTTGGTGAAAAGATTACCTTAAGTTCTCTATTTTTTTTGAGGTGCAAATAAGATTATGTCAGTAAGATAAAATAACTCAAGGAAATGAAAATTTAAAGTAAGTAGTCACTATAGTTTCCCAAACGTCTACTCCATTATTGGTTCTTAACACGCTTCCTCTTTGCTTCACGAACACGCTTCTTGGCTTGCCACAGACGTTTCTGCAAACGAATATTGGTGAACATCCAGCCAATATCTCTTCTTAGAGTTGCCAAATCAAGAAGAACAATGGAAGTAAGAAAGATGAAAATTATAACAATCACAGTAATACCAATTTTAGTTGCTGATAGCGCTTCAACCGATGGTGGAACGTATCGGCCTGATGAAGTTATGCTCATGACCTTTTCTTTCTCTGTAATTGAAACAATGACAATTAATTAAAAGAATGCAAAGCAAATCCTTGGCAAAGCACAAAGTTAGTTTTTTTATTCTTGCCTCTAAATCACCCATCACCCGTACATTACATAACTAACATATTTTAATGTAACTAAACTTCTGTTTTATCTTTTCGTGTCGATGTGAAAAGGAATTTGATTCTATCTACTGGAGCGCCTTGGTCAAAGCTTCCAAAATGAGATCTTTAGCTATTTTAATATCAACGAAAGGCTTTACACTGTATTCCGTTTGCGTAGAAAAAGTCTCACTAATGAAATGGTAAAATTTATGTTGAAATTTTATGAGTTAATATTGGGGATATTGTTTGCTAACTTCTATCTCCAACTGATACTCACTAGTATGAAGGTGTACAGAAATTTCATTACTTTTGCTTCCGCATGGAAATCACCTGCATAATAATTCAGAAGAAATCAGAGTGGATATGCCTTTTCTAGAGCGTATTTTACTATGTGGAGGCAATTGGGATCGTTTAGATGGCCGTAAGTGGCACGTTCGACGATAAAAGGGGAGAGATTTCACTTACCGCAAGGTCACTGTGACTCAATAAGCGTTAGTCAACACTTTGGTCACTAAGAGCTCAAATACTGCGTCCACTTTCAATAATCTGATAGAGTTATTTTAATACACCTATCGTCGTTACACCCGATCATGGCCAAAACTAACTCATAACAAGTCAAGATAGGAATTTTAACACAAATACGTGACCTGATTTAGGTAACCTATATCCTGTCACATTCATGACTCTCGATTGGTACGGTGGATTGTGATCGTTGAATCAAAATTTGTCCCACCCCCCCCCCTTTATACCTTTATGTTACTTCGTCATTGCTTTTATAATCCATGCAAATCAATGATTTCGCGTATTTTGGTACTTAATTGCATTACCTACATCAATCGCCTTATTAAATGCTACTTAGACCATTATTCGCACACTACACCATTCCTGCCCTAAGTTTACGCAACTAAAGAGAACTGAAGGAGTGCCACCTCAAGAGGTTACTTTGCAACTCCACTAAACAGACAAAGACAAAGTGACGCCGTTTTTCATAGTGGTTGATCTTTACTCCGTCTTATATTCCAGATAGTGTTGAATGGAACGTGGCCAATAACTTCAGCCTCATTTTATGATTTCATTAAAAAAATAAATATTAAAGAGGATGCTAAGCAAACTTTTTTTAAAATCCCAAACCTAACTTACCTAAGCATGGATTCAATTGAGGCACCCACTTTCCAAATTTTTCGCAAATAAGGATCAGTTGTTGCGTTTTGGTAACAGTTTCATAACCTTCGCTGCAAGTGTAAGTAATTTTAGTTTTGTAGGGATACGGCGTTGCTTTCAGACTGGTCAAATGCATAGTACTTCCGTTTTCATATTTGATTTGAAATTCTTTCTCGATGTTGTATTGGGCTTTCAAGAAAGCCTCTTCATATGGACATGTCACGGCTGTGAAATGAAATTGAAAAAGTGGAAGATAAGAATTACAAGACCCAGGGAGTTTGGCCTTCTGTGAAACTCAAACTTCACAATAAAGCTTCTAGCAAATCATCTTGAAATAATGTGGAAGTGAACAAGAACTGTCAATGAGCTTTTGATGAAACCAATCCTTATTTATTTACTACTAACCGATAACTAATTTTCAAAAAGCCTCCCGGCTCTCAGCCGCCGAGGGAATGAAAAGGGGGTTGAGTGAATATTACAGAAATACCAGTACTCAAATAAAATCGAAGGAATGGCGGACCATTTTGAGCTATGACATAAGATGCATTCATGGAGCTTAATTCTGTCCTTCTTTGACTACACCCCTTTAGATAAAAAATAATTACTTAGAACACATTTTCGGCATGGCTGACTATGGATGAAGCAAATGACCGTGAAAGTGAGTTATGCAATCCAAGCTCAAAGATGCATGAAGGGTAGAAGTAATGACGGGAGAATCGAAAGCCTCTAAAGGATGAGGCGAAGCCATCATCTTGTGGGCTTGACCATAATCCTTCACCTCTAGCATTCAGAACCAGGCTGAATGTATCTCCGGATTTAGCCAATGGCCAAATAAGGCTCTAACCTTTGGCTTCATATTTGCCTATGCCTCGTTCCAATGCCGCCTTCCTATTGACATTATCTAGCTTCGTTGAGAAAGTGTAGCAACAAACAGATTAAATGCTTTTTAAACATCAGTGACAGTTGAAACTTAATCCCGGTCACTTAATTAACTCATCCATCCAATACAGCTGATTTTAAAATGGGATCCTGGAGTTGTCACAGGGTTGGCACTGTGAGCTGGAGGTAATTAGATCTCAGAAAATATCACTGCTTCATTCTAGTCTGATTCCATATTAGCCTTCATTTTCTTCTTATTTCTGTACCCTTTATTTTAATTAACATCGTGCCTACTCAATTCCCTAAGTTTACATATAAGTAACATCGAAAATGTTCATGTTCATATTTACGTTCGCATTCCAATGGCAGTGGTAAGGATGTTCCTCCATACCCAGTCCATTCTCCTTCCGTTTCACTACTAGACTTCAATCCGCACGCAATGAACTTCTCGTATGAATGATCGGGGTAGAAAAAGGCTCCTTGACACATAATTGTTACAACATTGCCAAATTGATTGAACATATTCTGCTCTGACAGGCCAAATTGGGCTTCAGTCAGCGTGCTGCGAGCGCCTGCTAGACTTGCGCGTTTTGGAACCATTGCAAGCATCTCCGTTTTATTACAACGAATAGCTAGAAGGGTGATGAAAAAATATTGAAGAACTTTTAAAATGGAAGGCTCTGAATTATCTGAAAGGTAGATAGGAAAAAAAGATAAATTTTTTAAAAATGCTTAACTGAGGTAAAACATTTTATGAATTCCCTGATTTACCGAAGGGCACAAACATGTTTATATACTTTTAAAATAGGGGTGCGTGATAGATTTACCTCCACGTGGTGCCCCCTGGGCAACGTATACTCATACGGCAAAAAAGTCTATTAACTGGCGATTGACTTCTGGCCCAGTACTCATCCTACCTTTCCTCTGCCTCCATGTCTGTCTCTTTACATCTGTAAATCACTCTTCTGTTCCCAACCCCTCGACTTTCTGTTTCTTTGATGTTCCTTCCCCCTGTGAAGCCCGAAGTCAGCTAAAGGGCTAATGACAACTATCAAAACGCCTGCCATTTGAAATAAATAAATAAACTTTTAAAATACGATAATCGCCCTTTCTATTCTTGAATTCTTGCTCAATTTATTGATTCGTTGAGTCAAAGATTCCCCTTTCAAAAGACACTGCTATAAATATTATGCTTTTTAAACTCTATTATCTGAGAAGTAACGAAAGTTGAAAGGTGTCTCGATGACATTATTGTATCTGAAATTAACTACCAAAGAGTCTTCAAAAGGAATTTGAGTCTCTTTTCAATTAATAATTAACTTTAATCGAACGCTTAACTTTGCCCAAGGTTTTAATGAAGGTGTACTTTTATCATTCAGTACATCATTTTTCATCATGTAAAGTTACAAATTTGCTTCGTACCTTTAATACCGCCTGCCAAGTAAACGCCTTGACACTTGCATTATTCGAAAAAGTTGTTAGTTAGTAACATCTTGAAGATAAGACAATTTAATGGAAATGAAAATGGAGTGTATATATTGTCTGAAAGTTCTAGATATTAGTCTTTAGAATACAAAAATGGGAGGTAACGGCTATTTTGATATATCTTCACAGTCCTCTAATTCAACAAGGGATTTAAAGGTGAATATATGTTTCGAATAAGCCAATTGCCACTGTTGTTTTTATTCATGACCTTTCATTGAGCAATTCCCCGTGCTGAAGCTCGTTCTTTCATTCGGTCAAGTAAGATATCCGATCTACCCCTAACTCTTTAGTTGCAGCAAAACCAATAGAAAGCAATATCCTCTTTCGCTTCTCACCTTGGTAGTTCCACCTAACAAATTATGGAAAGAGCTCTTTTATAATTCGAGGAATCCAAGTGATTTTTCTAAGCTCTTTGTTGTTTAGCTAAATTCATTAATAAATTAATGTTATTCTGCTACCACCAGTTAGTGCAGGTGGGTGTGGGGGGGGGG